AGGCGGCGGCTCCGGAGATGAGTGATGCGGAGCCACGGGAGGCGGCGGCTCCGGAGATGAGTGATGCGGAGTTCAAGCGCACGGTTCTCGACGCTTTGGCTTTTATGACATTTCTTGCATTCCCGATTCCGTTGTGTTTTGCAGTGTTTATTTTAGTTGAAGTTGAGAGTTTTGTTGAGAAGTTGAGACTTTCGGTTGCTGGAGGAGTTCGTGGCGTGGGCTATCACGGCGATAAAGGAGATCAGGGACTTCACGCGACGCCGAGAAGAGCGAGAAGGGCGCAGAGCTGCATCAAATGCCACCCCCAGCCACTCCGATAGCGACGACTCCAGTGACACCTGCGATGAAAACTATAGGAATAAGCGTCGCCGAGCGACAGACTCGGCCGAATGATGCCAGCCATGTCAGCCGGGCTGCTTTTTGAATCTCAGGGCCGGGGCTTGTGCTCTTTAGTGCAGTGCTGGGTTCCGATGCACCGACAGGCTGAACCGCTTGAAAACATGAATCGTCCCTTGCTGAGCGCCGACGTGCATGGCATGCACTTTTAACTTTGTGCCATTGCTGCCTGTAGTCACTGAACAGGCAAACTCCGTCGTGGCTGATGTGGCTGAATCCCGGCCCGAGACAGCGAATGAGCTCGGCGACAACGATGATTATCAGCGTGTTCAACGTGCTCGTGCTCGGAAAGTGACTTCATTCCTGAAGAAGACAGACACATTGCCACGGCTTGTGATTGCATCTGTCATGATTGCGCCGGTTGAGCATATCATGTGGCTGGGTCAGATAAAAGCTTGTGTCACTGACTGACAGCGTGGAGTTCGCTGTGCCTACTTCTGCATTCTGTTCAAATAAGGTATGGTATGTTCCGAGATTCGGCCAACCATGTATGGCTGCATGCGGATGACCAGTCGCTGTCGAGATTGCCATGTGTATTCATGACTTCGGAGACAAGGCGGAACGAAGAAAAAACAGTTCTGGTACCATCTTGCTATTGCTGATAGTTGCTGACAGGTCACCAGCGGCACGAGCAGTGTCACAGTATGCTTCTATGGCATCGCAGCCCAGGAGCAAGATACTTGCTGGTGCTGTGCTCAGACATCGGGACTGGCTAATTGACTAACTTATGCGATTCCAACTGTTAGTCATGTTAGTCTGATTGCAGCTGCAACTTGATTGGAGCGCCGGGAGCAGGTTTGGATGGTGCTGGGCTGCAGCTTGCAAGCTTCTGCCTCTGCAGCGTGATGAGTCACACGTGGCATCGGCTTGTGCTTCCTTTCCAGGCTTGGCACAGCAGTTGTTGCATTATGGTTGCATGATTTGCACGGACGCATGAAGTCGCAGTGCAGCTTGAGACTCGTACTATATACTTATTACTTATTTGATTCATATGATATATATATATATATATATATATCTATATATAATATAATATATATATATATATATATAGTAGCAGTACATATGTCAATATGTTGTTCTAACAAGACTTAATCAACGACTTACTCCATTTTAACAACACAGCAAAGTTTGTAGTAAGAACTCTATGTAATTACGAACTCTCGATGGGCAGGTGTGGCCTGGCAAGCTGGGTGCACTATTGGATGAACAGTTATCCATTGATCGGCGACTTCAACTTGCCAGTGACTTCTGCCGCGCGCCCAAGTGTTGTCTTGACACGAGATACTCTCTTCGGCTCCGGACGTATATGGAGGCTGGTGTGATCTGGTGGGTGTGTATGCCTGCGTGTGTGTGTGTGTGTGTGCGTGTGTGTGTGTGTGTGTGCTGTGCTGTGCGGCCTTGAATTTACTCCAAGAGGCCAGTGGGTATGAAGCCAAGGATCTACTGCCAGGAGGGAGATTGTTTTCTGCAGCTTGGAGCCTAGTTGACTGAACTGGACCTGCATGATAACTGACTGATGGCGTGACCTTCGAAAGTCGATCACGCAATCACGCAATCACACACCATTCTATTAGTGCGACAGTTCAGACAGTTCATGATCTTGTTGGTCAGGTCAAGATGACACATATGCGAAAACTCATCAACTCGGAGATCGAATGCAACTTCGCGAGGGCATCATCACAAAGGATGCCTGCTTGGCAGCAGACGTATGACCATGTGATGTGATTCAACGTTTCCCAATACATGTAATGGAGTTAACGGAGTGTAAAACGTATCCTGTAACTCAGGGCCACGAGAGGCCGAGGCCACGGCATCACCAGCATGGCGCGGTACCGAGCCCGATAAGATTTATAGATTTACACATGTTTAATCAATGTCAGTGGCACTAGTTCACTATAGGTTTCTGATCATCGCAAGCCCAGCCTCGTATAAGGTCGGCAAGTTCATGCTGTCCGAACTTCAGAAGGAACATCAGCAGTACATGCTCAAGGTGGCAGCCACGAAAAGCCGCTTGACACGAGACTACACAAGACCTCAATACCGTTAGCCTGCATATCTAAGGCGATGCCACCATGCCAATGCCGATGACCGATGGCACGGAAACGCCAGCTGATGACAAGCGCCAGATATACAATGGTTTTTCGTTGTATTTGGCCAAGCAGCTTGCTGAGAAGGTTGGTGTCAGTAAACGCATACAGCATACACGTCATGTGCCTCCACCTCAGTGCATGAGCGCAGGTGACGCAGCCTGGCGAGACTGCAGATGAAGCCCGTCGCCGGGTCTGGAACGATGCAACTGCAAAGTGGAAGAACGATCCGGAGCTCAAAAAGGACACACTCATCATTCCGCAGCGTTCAGCGTCTGCACCAGTTTGTAACGCTATCCTGGGGTGTGCTGGGTGATTTCGGCAGGAGATGTCGGCAAGAGCGAAAGTTGTGAATCAGCAACAAGCTCATGCTGGCACATGCTCAGCAGCCAGTGACATCCATTGCGCAGGCCGATGCAGCCGAGCTTGCGAAGAGAGCAATTACTGATGGATTTGATATTGCGGCTATCAGCGATGAACACTTTGCCATTTCGGAGTCTTTTGTTGACAAGTGCCGTGGCGAGCATGTCGGCAACTGGATGGTTGATAAAAGCTCGCAATTTGAAAACGAACGTGGGAATGTGATGGAATATGATCCGACAGAAGAGTGGTCCTCATCTGAAGATGAGGTAGGTCCGTGTCAATGTGTATGCGCGGTTCAGATTTCCACTGTCAGGGCCAGGTTCGGACAACTCAGAGACGAGTGCATTGCACTCCTGCGGAAATTGAGGACCACGCGCAAGCATCAGGGGTACTTGCCGTATCATGGCCTGTTGCTAGTGACCCAGGCTGACAACGGCAAGATCATCGAGGTTCATGTCCTAGGACGAGTTTCGTTCTCGCCGTTTGATTTTACGGGGATCGAATTTCAGCCTCGAGCGGAGGCAGACCCAGACGGTAGTGTGCATGCCGACATTCTGATCAAGCAAGGCACCGCTGTCCTGAGAACGATGACTGAATTGATCTACAGTGTTGCTACTAGGCCTGAGACGGGCCTTTCCACGGTCGACTATGCTGCGACCGATCTTGGTTCGATCCGGCTTCTTGTAGGATCGAAGCAACCTCTGGTGGAACTGAAGTCTGGCGCATACGGAATTGCAGGGATTCAACACAGGGGGCACGAAGCCGACTCAGATTCGGAAGATCGTCTGATTGGAAAGCAGGGCTCGCTGCTAAAGAAAGCGTTGGGGCAGGCGCCACCAAGACGAAAGGCAACACCAGGACTGGATGATAGGCTCACGTTTGGGTTTAAGGAGCTCAAGGTTTATCTGTAACTGGTTTTCATTTCAAAGTACATGTTTTACATTTCAAGTTTCGAGTCTACCGCTTACATGTTCTGACTTACATGCACGCTGCCCTTAGATGTCAGACAGCCGCAGGGACAAGAAAGGAACGTGTCAGACTTCAACGAGGAAGCCAGCATCAACGCGCTGTGTCTGAGATAGATAGAGCAGGATGCTGCAATTGCAGAAACTTGGTCAGCTGCCATAGAAGCTGATCTCGGGCCACTCCGGTTGCCTGAGCGTGCGAGTTCTTCGTCCGCTCGGTCACACCCCGTGCAACAGCAACAGCAGCAGCAGCAGCAGCAGCAGCACAACCTTCGTCAGCCATGGAAGGATGACAGTGGCTATGTTTTCGCGATGGTGCAGGCCACTGATGACCAGCCGGCAACAAAGAAGCATCTGGGCAACTTGGAATCCTATCCTATGATTGTTTGAGTTTGTGTTTCTTTGTCTGAGGAGTCTCGAACCTGATGAATGCATCTCAGGCAGGATCACTGAAGTGCGACCCGGCACTGCAACACATGCAGTGAGCACCAGATGCAGCTACTTGTCTCCAACTGGTCTGCTGTGCGACATGCTCCATGCGTATGCCAGACACATTCATATCCGTCATTCAAGCTTCCACCACATATCATTGATCTGATCTAAGGTCTGCATAGCAAATGTTCTGCGCTGATCGCCGTCAAGAAGCTGAAGAACCATAGCGAGCCGGCTATGATGGCATGGCTGGAAGCAGGTCTGACTATGCCTGATCGAGGGCGAGCCGGCGAACATAAGGATTTGAGCCTTGTTTTTGGTGAGAGTCAATTCATGTAGTAGATGTGAAATTTGCGAGTCAGGTTGGTAGCATGTGCAGCTTGTTTATCTGAGGCTGACGACTTTCTTGCCGACGTGACCGTTTGTCGTCGTGGCCGTGGCAGCAAGCTCTTTGAGTTAATGAGTTTCAGATCCATTCGCATTGATATGCCGAATGCCGGTGCAGCTATCGGAGATTGTGTCACAACTCAGACCTCAGACACGAACTCAGTGTGTCGGTCAAAACATTGGGAACCGCTCGCAATTGCTTCAACATTAGATGTTCAGATCAGTTGTTGCCTCGCACCTCCGTCATGCCCTTTGTGCAGTTGTGAGTTGTGAGTTTGTTTTGTTTTGTGCGGTCGCTTTAGCTCGAGGAGCAGTGCAAATTCTCTCTGCAGCGCACAACCCACCCGTGCAACTGTGCTGTGCAGCCATGCCGCCATCATCTGTGGCTCCCGAGATCCCTTCTGGATTTCCAGATGACTATGTGCCCAAGAGGTGCCGTCGCTGCGGCGAGTGGTCGACAAGCGAATCAAGGTATGATCAGTCGAAATCCATGGAAAGCGCATGGAACGGGTATGTGGCCTGGGGTCGCGGAAGCGTGGAATGTCCGACCGGGAACCACTGTTTGATGTGCAAGAAGGTCGGACAGCTTCGTGTGCATAATGCCAGGGCATCTGATGTTTGTAATTTGTAACTTGTAACTTGCAACTTGTAACCCCGGAAGTCAGTCATCAGCATCTGTGTATACAGTACCACACCAATGTACCGTACCAACCGTACCGTACCAACAGTACCGTACCAATGTACCGTACCACTGTACCGTACCACTGTACCGTACCATGCCAGCCGTACCGTACCACCCGTACCAACCGTACCGTACCAAATTTAGCATAACATCTCCAAGATTTAGCATAACATTGTTATGCTAGATCTTGGAAATGTTATGCTAAATTTGGTACGGTACGGTTGGTACGGGTGGTACGGTCGGTTCGGTACGGTACAGTGGTACGGTACAGTGGTACGGTACGGTTGGTACGGTACGGTACGGTACAGGTACAGTACAGTCTGTGAATATTGGGCTGCGTTGTTGGTACGGTTGAGTTTGGTGACAATTCTGACACAGTGTGGAGTTGTGTTGCTGGAAGGTCGCTGATGTGGGTGGCTGGATCATCAAACACGGAAGCATGACGGCGGTGGACAAGGCGCTCGACAGCGATCCCTGTTGCAATCATGATTTCTTGCAGCAAAAGGAGAACCTGCTAGAACAGAAGGTGGCAAACCCTGCAATGAGGTTGGGGAAGCACAATCTGTTGAAACACCCAGAGCAGGTTACCGTGACCGAAGAGCATAAGCAGGGCTTGCAGGCACCGAAGAAAAAATTCATGCTGCTCTCCGCTTACGAGAAGCGCTTCGGCGCTGCGGATCCGGGACAAATCAAGACCATGCGCATTAAGGGGCAGGAGCTGAAGGGGGTGGATGTAATAGACGAGATCGACCAGGGGGTCTACACCTACATCGACGAGGTGGCGAATGCTGTGCAACGGCAAACCACTTTATCCGATGCTAACCTGGTGGTGTCTGCAGATCAGCCGGAGATGATTTTCTCCGCTGCGGTTCGCCACTTGAGCACAGCACCGAAGGATGACTCGAGTTGTGTCGTTATCGACTCGGAGCTGGGGAACTCTTCTGCATCAGGCGCAGGAGCTCCGGACCTGTTCTTCGGCGGCACGGCCGGTGTTGCATCCGAGGAGGCTCGAGTGTTCAAGCTCAGGATTTAGTTTAGGGCCTTTATGGTTGAGTTGAGTTTAGGTTCAGGTTAGGGCCTAGTATTTGTTTTGTTTTTTGTGTGATGATGAGGTTTTAGACATGCAATGACACACAGGTGCCTGACAACGACGACGAGGATGATGAGTTCCAGCCCTTCGCTTCCTTGTTTGGTCGCCTGGCATCCCAGTCCAAACGTGCAGCTACAGCGCCAAAGAACAAATCCAAGCCAGCGAAGCCGCAGGACAGCCGGACCGTTAATTGGGTTGCTGGGGTCATGGTTTTTGGTTCAACCAACAGAACAGGGCCTCAACTCAACATCAAAGCCCCAGGAGAGCGCGGAAAAGGCCCAGCCCGCGCCAAAGAATCCGGGGAAGACGCGCAACAAACGGGCAGTGGGAACAACTCCGTCAACATCGAACCACCAGTCGGAAGCATCAGAAGCGACTACGAAGAAGAGGCGAACCGATGTCGCCAATGATGGCAATGGCGGCGGCGGCGGAGACTCCGAGTTGATTGAGAAGTTCCAAGCGATGTTTGCCGATTGCATCCTCCTGACTGGCGTGACATCCTCGGACGAACAGGCCTTTGGCCAGTGGAGCAGAGAGAAATTGAAGACTATCCAGGATGCTCGATCTCAGATGTATACAAAGAAGAAATCTCTGAAGCGCCGAAGCTCCCAGATGTCGGAGGACGTGGGCAGTGCGCTAGACGAGTTCATGAACAATTTGAGTCGGGTGGCGGACCTCGTGAAAAAGATCTCAGTAGGATGCCCAGAAGGACGGCACGTGTACGAGGCGTTGTCAAGCCTTTGTGAGGAGCTTCATGTTGAAGTCTCGCCTGCAGTGTGGATGCGAGCACTGAGAGCAATGGCGTTCGACAATCTGAAGACAAAGGCTTGGAAAGAGTTCTTCGTCGACACGTGGACCCTCTGCCTCCAGCACCTACCTTCGGAATCCGGCTTCTTTAACCTGGTGACCTCACAGCTTCTGCAACGCTTGATCAAGGCCATTTCGACAGCCAAGGGTGTGACACAGGACTACTATTTACTATTTGCTTTTGCTTAAGAAACCCCCCACCAAAAATAAAAGTAATAATCCCTATATTACCTCCATAAGGAATATATTTTCTATTTTTTTGGGGGTTCTTAAGCAAATAGTAGGTTTAGGGAGTTTAGGGAGTTTAGGGCTTAGGGCCTTAAGGGTTCAGGGTTGAGGTTGAGGGCTTGGGGTTTAGGATGTGGGGTCTTTGGCTTGGAGGGCTTCTAGGGCGATTCTAGAGGAGTCGCTGGCGGTGGTCCGGTCGTTCGTGGAGGCTATGGCCGAGCAGCAGAACATTGAGAAAACTTTGCCGCGTGACATGAGTCTCGACGACCATTCGCGCATGGTGAACTCGGTTAAGATCGTCTTGGATTTCAATTCGTCGCCAAGCACGGTCCAAGCTGCAATAGAAGAGATCAAGCAGAACGTGGAACAGCATTGGGCAGCGGGGCCATTCGAACTTGGACACGGGAAAAAAATCATTGAGACAGCGCTTGCTAACTCCAAGACCAAGGAGTCCGTGGCGGGGGTGCTCGACATGATTGGCGAAGCGGAACAGTATTTGATGGCATGCTCCGTGTGTACCATTGAGTCAGCATCATGTCTTGATCTATGTACTGATATTGGAGGTCGCTTAGAAATCCTTGATATCTTGACATGCTGCTCTGTTTGAGATGTTTGAGTCAAATTCGGGTCAGAGTTGCAGGTTGTTGCTTCCAATCTCAGGCGACGTTGGTGTCATTGAAGGCAGCTTTCAGCCAGGACCACGGTGCGCAGGTCACGGCCTATTTGCGGAAGTTGCACGACAAGCCTGTCAAGTGTTTGCGCGGTGCCGATCGGGATAAGCTACTTCGTGTTCAGAAGACTGCTAAGCAAGCAGTTTTGGCGATTGTGTTTGGCTGCCTGAACAATGAGCTTCTGCCCTATCTGAACGAGCTAAGCCGTTGCCTTTCAGCGAAGGAGACCTGTGCATCAACAATGTTGCCATCGAGCTGTTGCATCATGCAGCTTGCTGACGATTGCGGTCAGTACTGTAGCAACGGCGAGGGGATGGTCTTGAACAAGCTGAAGGACTTGAGCGAGTTCGCATCAACTCTGGCTGAGAAGTGCAGCGCAGAGTCAGTTCCAGAGGCGGAAGCATCAGCTTTGTCATCGCAGTGGAAAACTAAGGCCTGGATTTTCAACAGGACGCTGGACATTTGTGCCACCAAGGCTACCGCCGCCGCCCCAGACGGCGAGGATGCAACGAGGATGGCATCCATTTTGACGACGGTCCAATCGTCGTGTGACACGGTGAGCAGTGCTATCGATATTGCATTGCGAGGTCATGTGAAAGACAAAGCCATGTCAAACATCGACGAGCTCATCAAAACTGTCGTGGCGGTGGTGTCGAATGTCGATGGGCCCGGTCCGACTGCTGAGGACACGACGAACTTCTTTGCCAAGATCGAAGCAGCCAAGCTGGCGTCAACAGTCTTAGGCGAGGATGGAGCCACAGTCAGGAATGGCACCGAAGCACTGGCTCTGCTATACACGTGCCTCACAAGCAGTGTATCTGCTCGTGATCGAGAACCCAACACGGTGATCGAGGAGAAGATCATCGTCGACTTCATCATGTCGTGCAACAAATTGGTTGACATGGATTACTCAGATGCATGGGCCAAGCTGAACTCAGTGACTACAGTAGTTTCGGACGAAGCGCTGGCTATCTTGACTCAGTCAGCAACAACCATGCGCGACCTGAGGGACACCGAGTTCACAACGCTGTCGACTGCAATCAAGGAGCATCTGGACGGTGCGGCAATCGACGAAAGCACGGTCGAGATTCATGATGGCATCTACGCGATCGAGTCATTCGATGACATTGCAAAGACCAAGGACTCCTTGACAGATGTCCACTTCAGTATGTCAAAAACCACTGAGGTCTCTACTCAAGCTACGAAGCTCGAGGAAGCGATTCGGCATGCCAAGGAGATTGCGTCTGGCATGGGTATGAAGGTTGAAGACGTGGTGCCCAACCTCGTGAACCATGAGACTAGCTACCGGAGTGCTTTGAAGTGGCTGGTCACAGGCAACATGCTTTACTCGTTGACCAGCAAGGCCGTGCGAAGGGCTTTGCAGACCCAGACAAAGCCAAATGGGAAAGCAATCACTTCGCTGAAAGATGCCCTCGCTGCAGCGGCGGACAACAACTTGGAGGTCCCTGTGTCGCTGCAGGCACTTGCGTCGAAGATCATTCAGTTCGACGTGAAGGCGGAGGCCCAAGCCAATGCAGCACAGTGAGGCACAGCACCGAATTTGAAATGCTCTCTATGCTTATGACAGCATGCATTGTGCATGTTGGTTACACTGCCTTTGATGTGGTAGTGTGGTAGTGCTGTGTTAGTTAAGTCAAGTGACAAATTCGAGACAGTCGTAGTTTGCGGTGGTCATGTGCGTGTGTGAACGGTTCACGGTTCACGTTATTTATGACTCTATGATTCTATGATAATCGGTCCAACACTGTCAATACCCAACGCTTAGCCATTCGTTGATCTGATCATGCCGGGCGACAGTGCAGTTGCGTGACCCACGCACACGCACACACGATGTGGCTCTAGCTGACATCAAAAAACAAGACCGTGATGTCTTTGTCACTGCAGAGCAAGACTTGCAGTGATCTGTACAGGATTTAGGACCTAGCACCGACAACAATATCCAATGTCCGAGTGACATGTTTCTTCATCCGTAAGTTATAAGTTGTTATAAGTTGTAAGTTAATAACATTAATAACTTTGACTATGTATAGCCGTATAGCTGATATCTGTACCGGTTATTGATGTCCAGTTCTACGTGTGCAGTGTGTATTGTGTATTATAGATGTCGCGCCTTGCAGTAAGCCTGCTGGGGCAGCATTGGCGATCTGGGGCCAGGACAGATGGATGTTAAGTCGGGCACATAGAGCTCGCGGTGTACAATATCATTTCTTTAGAACACTTCAGAAACATCAAATCAATTGACAAGAAATGTCGCAGTTTGCAGTTTGCAATTCGAGCATGTCGAAAATCACAACAAACTCAGCGCATAGAAAGACGAGGGGCGAAAAGAGCTGCATTTCAATGGAGTCTTGATGAGTTTGTGTGGCGGCATGTGCTGACTCAGACGCAGGCTGACTCCAGCTCCAGCACTCACTTGTCATCGCTTGATCCAGTTGTGGCAGAACAGCCCATTAAGGCTCAGTCCGGATGCCAACTTCAGAGCAGTTAGTTCACAGTAGCCGTAACCGTCCGGCTTGTTGATGACAAACTGACAGTGATATATTCTTGCACAGTATTACATTTCAATTACGCAGACTCTTCGTTGTCGTTGCCATGCCGCCGAAGAAGAGTGCAAATGCTAGAGCGAAGTCACCCTCACCAGCCAAAGCCAAAGCGAAGCAGACTCCGAAAGCGAAGCCACCAGCAGCCAAAGCCAAAGCCAAAGCCAAAGCTAAGGCCGACCCAACCACTTCAATGAATGTGATTGAGCGACCAGATCCCGCAACTGGTGAGTTGCGGAAGGTGACTTTGGTAACCCCCCCAGAAGCTGCTCAAGACAACGTGGCTCATCAGCCTCTGACAGACTATTGGAAGACGGCTTTCAAAACCACTACCGGCGCCGGCGCCACTGCATTCGGTGATAAGCGGCAAAAGCTGTCTCCAGGTGAGGACAGCGAATCGGCTATGGCTTCTGGGTCGAGTGATCCGAAATCGAGTGCTGTGGCGACACCGCCGCAGCCGAGAGTCATTGACGAGGAAGAGGAGAATCAGCTTATTGCGGAACTCGAGACACAGATTTGTTCCCCCTCCCCTTCGCAACCACCAGAAGGACAGCCCGAGACACATGTCATTGTCGGTAAATCAACGGTTGCATTAGCTGCAGCGACATCGTGACAGGGACTTATAGTTTGAGAAGTTTGACTGTTTGAGTTTGACTCGTGACGTTGAATTCGGACTGTGTACATGACTGTATGTGCCAGGAGTCGATCAGGATGGGAAAGCTTCCGGCAAAGATGAAGATGACCCCGGCAACGCCGGGCTGCTGTCTTTTGACGAGATTGCACAGGAGAGGCATATTGGCATATTGCTTGCTTCTTTCTGAGGGTTGCTTGCAGATATGTGGCTGAACTGCAGGAGCAAGTAGCACAGCTTGCATCGAAGCTGGGCCGCGGTGTGCTCGCAACGATTGTCGATAGCATGCCATCGAAGATTAGATTGCTTTCGGCATGTACCGGGAGCGGGTCTTTCGAGCTTGCCGCACGTGCAGCTATGGGTTCGTTGTTGAGCGATTTGGGAAACAAAACTTATAGAAGAATCTTGCCAGCGTTATGAACAATGCACGACCCAACTCAGCAAGCACGTAACCAACTTGTTGTGTCGACTGTCGAACTGCTATGATTGCTCACTGATGGCTGTGCTGAGGTGAATACGACCGTGGCGTGTGAAATCATGCCTTTCAAACAAAAGTTCCTCCGGAAGCATGTGCTGGCCGCTGGGCCAGCGTGTTAGTTCACTCACGGTGCGAGACGAATGCAACACTAGACTTGACTAGACCAGCATGATAGCATGAGCATGCTTGTATGTTTGACTGACTTGCAAGGACAACGACTGCTGTATCTTCAAGGATATCACGAAGCTCAATGATGACACATCTCGGATGTGTTTGACACATGAGAATAACTGTGTAGCTTGGCTACCACTATGGTGCTCGGTTTGTTAGGACCTGCATCATGCACTGGGTTTTCTCAGGAGCTGTGTTCAAGCGCAGTGGATGATACGGACACCCTGTCCATATTTGCTGCCGGTTTCAGCTGCAAGCGGCTTCGATGAAAAGCCTAGTAAAGCGTGGTCACGCAGGGTGTTGGCAAGGACAGAGACCAGCAAAGGTCACTGAGCAGGATGAACAATGATTTCCATCAGCTGAAGCGTGCGATGTCCGAGAATATTGTCATGAACTCAGTCGCTCGAGTGTTCTGATTCAGTCCGTTATGTGCCATCTGTGTGCAATCATGTCGCTATCTTAGCGACCCGAAGCACATGACTTCTGACTCCTGACTCCTGACGACGTCTAACTTCCAACGTAATTAGTTATGATTATTGTTATTATTTGATTATTTCTACTAATTTCTACTAACTCTAACACCTAGACCTAGACTCCTAGACACCTAGAAATAAAATCCACCCGGTCACTCAGGAATGCTCATCTGTTGTCACATTCAAGGGAGTGTGCCACATGATCAGCCAGATGCAGCCGCTATGTTTTATCCTTGAGAATGTTGATTCTGTGGAAAGCAGTGGGCAGAATGATGAAGGCAAGGAGTAACTTGGACTTGGGATGGTTCGTTGATGTGTGACTCGTAATATGTCGCTTGATTCTTGAGCACACCGAGCCCAGCCCATATGCTACAAGGCCGAGCAAGTCGAATTTGGAGATGATCCTAGCTTGGCTGAAGGAGCTCGGCTACACCGTGACAGTCGAGAAGATGCGGTCCGACGACTTTGGCTTGCCACAAAGGCGGAGCAGGCTGTACTTTTTCGGGCTGCGGGATTCCGCAGTGACAGCGGACTCAGCTCAAGACGTTTTGTCAAGAGTTGGAGATCGACTTGTTATGCTGCAGAAGAGGGCCGATGATCCAGCTGCCTAGCAGGAATATTATAATTCGGTCCAGTCAAGTTCTTTCATGTGGAGGATGGTGACTCGTCATCTCGCCACTAATGCTGCCATTGCTACATAACCATGATTGGCTGGCCTGAGGAATGCTTCATGCTTATGCCAGATGACAATATCCTGGACGAGGAGCTTGAGCGACTCGATCACAGGGCCGCTCAGGCCGCCGCCCCGTCTCCATCGTCTTCGAAGGGTGACAAGTGGAGAGATATCCACATCTCAATGGCTGAGCAATGTTGCAGCCTTATTTTTTTCTGTGATCATGTGACATGGTTTTGCTTCTCTTTGGTGTTCTCCATTTTGTGGCCCTGGTGACGGATGAGCTTGTTTCTAAGACGGAGTGCAATGGCCAGTGGTGCAGCCCAGCAACCTGCAAGTGTCGCCTTGGTTCAAGCATCTGACGCCGCGAGAACAGGAGGCGGGCATGGAGCACTCGAAAGCGTTTACAACCAGTCTCACATATCGAAGTCAGCGTTGTGCAGAAGTCACATCACAAGTTTGCCCAGGCAATGTCTTAGTCATGCTGCATGCTGTTGATCATGCTTGAGTTGATCCTATTATTGGATTTGTTGAAGGTCGTATGCTTCGTGCAACTGTGGAATGAGCGACGCCTTCAAGAAGGCGAAAGTCAGATGGCTTTTGTGGACATAACTCAGAATGTGAACCGCCTGGTTCACTCTACGTTCGACTCGAAGGCCATATCACCTCCTTGACTGTCAGTCAATCAGCTGACTAGCTCTTGCAGCCTGGAGTACATGATGACACGGCTGTGGATAACTCTGACAACAAATAAAAACAATGACGACAACTTATAACTTAAAACTTAAGAATTAAGCCAGTCGCCAATATCACTGATCACCACCGGCATAGCCCTCCGCCACCATCACCATCACCACCGTTGTGCTGTTGTGCTGCTGGTGCGTTTACTGCTGCTTGCCACAGGTTGTGCCCACCATCCTGCCGCAAATGCGTCTGTGGAGCACCACGCACAACAGATGGCTGCTTGGAGCCTTGGACTACCATTAATTCAATTCCAGTAACATTACTAACGTCGAGTCAGAGTCGTTGGACTTGTATTACTTGTTACTTGATGTCTTGGCTATATTGAGGTTCGGAGATGCTAGCGATGCAAGGATTCGACATCAATCAGATTGGTGATGGCGAGAACTGTGGCCTGACGCAAGTGCAAATGGCGAACCTTGCCGGGAATGCGTTCCTCGGCTTGGCTTGGTCTGCATGAATGGTCGAGTCGAGTCACGAGTCTTCGCTTCAATTCGAACTAAGATTTTCGGGCCCATGTATCACAGCAGCTATCCTCGCCTTCATGTCTGCCCTCCGCTTCAACACGGACAGCGAGGACGAGGAACTTAATTCCATTGCCCAGAGGTACCTTGTCATGCAACCACCCATCTGCGATGTCTTAATACCCTTGACCCTTGATAGCGAAGCCGCACTCAGGTTCGCTTTCCCGGGGTCGACGTGAGTCAAGCGGGCACGCCGGTCCGAGTGTGAAAAGAACGGATGTGCGGCGGCGGCGTATGCTCTTCTTACGGCTAACTTGTCCCACAATCAAAGTGCGTCCCATGCCACTCATGTCA